TTATTCTGTGATACTATAATTGTGGATATATGACACTATGCATTTTTTAAAACTCCTAGAACTTTATAGCAGAAAGAAAGAACCTTGATATATGCAAATTTTTAAAGAAATCATTCAGGAGGTAGGAAGATACTAGGAAATAAAAACAGAAAGTGATAAAACAATTTAACTATATTACAACTATGAGACAACCTCATTGAAGGGGGTGAGGGAAGAGGTGCTGACCTAAGCAACTCTGGAAATGAGTGGAGTCTGTAAGGCTAAAGGCCAAAGGAACTGTACATAAGCACTGTACTCTGACAAAGTTGTTTCTCACATGAGTACAGGTTAACAAATTCTAATCTCACTATACATGTATATTGGAAGTAAACAATTAAGTGAATCAATGGCAGATGGTGGGAACCAGTTTTCTCACTATTGGATTGGCAGGTTATACATAAGCAAGGAGAAGAGGCTAGGATGACCCATATGATAATGAATTAGAATTGGAAGCATCAGTATGAACTCATGTTTAACTTAATATAAATACAGACAGTTACACATGGAAATATTTATAGATATGTGTACATATGTAGGTTAGTATATACATTTTTCCTTGCTGTCAACTGAAACAGCTTAGAAGCAACTATACCCCAGTAGCAATGAGTACACTCAACACACAGATCTTAGTTTCTAGTATAATTCTTCAATAAAAGGAACATGCTCTCTTTGAAAAAGTATCTGATTTAGCAATTAGGGCAGGAAATATACAAGATGAGCTTGGAGAATCTTGTAAGGCCAGAAAATAAGGAAGTGCCCTTGCGCGCACACGTGCACACACACACACACACACACACACACACACACAATGATGAGGGGGCCGAGAGACAAAGGAGTCAACTAAAAGAACTCCTAATATTCAAAGCTATAATAATTTGAACATCAAAATAAATAAGATAATTTGGATTACAAGCCAAAGAATAAAATAAATATCTACGAGTCCATACTGATATAAACAATTGAATAAGTAGATAAATGTGGCAGAATAGACATATGTCTCATGTAAAAGAATATCAAATAATTTATGTGGATACTCTGCCCTCAAAGAGGTGGAGCATAACTTTTCACTCCTTCAGTGTGGACTGCATATAGTAAATTCCTTCCAAAAAGTAGAGTGGAAAAGGGGTGGAGGGGAGAATGATTCTACAGCAAAAAACCCTGACAAACACTACCTCAGGTGCTCAAAGTCAATATCTACAGTGATAAATCATGTTGATAGTATGATATGCTGTGATTTTTTACCTCTGTGATCTTTCTTCCAAGAACATATAACCTCAGTGTAATCATGACAATTACAAAAAACAATGGTGATCTAGCACCTCTTATATTATCCTGGATAGAGCTTGAGCCCACCCTCCGAAGTGAGGTATCACAAGAATTGAAGAATAAGCACCACATGTACTCGCCATCAAATTGGCACTAACTGATCAACACTAAGGTGCTCACACGGTAGTAATATTCATTGGGGGTTGGGGGGATGAGGGTGGGTAAACTCACAACTAATGGACGCAGTGACCATTATATGGGGGAAGGGCAGGCCTCAAATCCTGGCTTGGGTGAGGCAAAGTCATAACATGTAGTCGAAATGTTTGTACCCCCATCAAATCCTGAAATTAAAAAAAAATAACAAACCAGACAAATCCCAAATCCTAAATATAGGACATTCTACAAAATACCTACAAAGTATTCTTCAAAATCCTAAAGGTCATAAAACATAAAAAAATGTGAAACAGTCACAGCCAAGAGGAGCCTAAGGAGACCTGACACCTAAATGTTATATACTATTCTGGATGTGATCCTGGAACAGAAAAAGGACAGTAAGTAAAAAGTAAAGAAATATGAATAAACTATTGACTTTAGTTAATAATATTGTATCAAAATGAGTTCATTAATTATAACAAATGTACCATATTAATATGAGATGTTAATAATAGGGGAAACTGGATGTGGGTATATGGGATTTCTATGATCTTTGTAATTTTTCTGTAAATCTAAAACTGTTCTGAAATCAAACATTTATTTAAAAAATAAAAAAGGCATTGGCCTTGACTTTAAGTAGGACACATTCTTGTGGAAAAACAAGGGTATCAACAAATAGTTAGGATGAAATGTGCTTAAGTGCTGCAATTGGGATGCTAAACGTGTTGTGGATGCATGAAGGACTATGCACCTCAAAAAGGAGGTAATATTTTAGCTGTGCCTAGAAGAAAGAGTAAGGATCACCCCTGTGACAATGGGGAAGAAAGAGCCTTCCAGAGGAAGACACCATGAATAAGGGTTCAGAGGGAGGACGCTGGAGGAGAACACTAAAAACTTCAGTGTGGCTGAGGCTTATAAAAGACAATGAAGGTGGCCTGGTGCGTTGGCTCACGCCTGTAATCCTAGCACTCTGGGAGGCTGAGGTTGGGAGGACTGCTAGAGGTCAGGAGTTCGAGACCAGCCTGAGCAAGAGTGAGATCCCCCCCATCTCTACTAAAAATAGAAAAAATTATCTGGGTGTGGTGGCTTGGCCTGTATTTCCAGCTACTCAGGAGACTGAGGCAGAAGGATCGCTTGAGCCCAGGAGCTTGAGGTTGCTGTGAGCTAGGATGACGCCATGGCATTCTAGCCTGGACAACAGAGTGAGACTCTGTCTCAAA